GCAAACGCAGATTGCACTGCGGAGCTGTCCCCGCCTCCGTCCTGCGCTCCCCATGTAACAATGGATCCATTGTAGCGCACTGCTGCAAACGCTTTGGCAGACCCATGTATGAACTTGACATCCGTCAGCATTGGCAAAGAACCCTTTCAAAGAGGGTGTGACTTGCCGGACTTTCTCGTATCACAGAACTATCGCCCCCCAAGGTGGCCTTTCCCCAGGTGACAAGCGACCCTTCCTCCGTGACAGCTGCAAATGCATAAGGGTTGCCCTGAACATTCACAATGCCTTGAAGTCGGTCTTGGACCATCGAGCTGTCTCCTCCATTACTAGGGGTCTCCCCAAGCAACCACGGACCCATCCAACACAATGGCAGCGAATGCAGTATGCGTGCTGTGAATCTGCGTCACTCCCTTCAATTTGGCTTGGACCCCAGGTGACGACAGACCCATCATGACGAAGGGCGGCAAATGCGCCCTGGGCAGCTGCAGTCACGCTTCTCACATCATAGAGCTGCTGCCGTACCATTGCCCTGTCAGCAACCATCTTCGGCAAGCCCCAGGTAACAACAGATCCGTATGATGTCACTGCGGCAAAAGCGCGGCCGCTGGCAACGATCTGCACCACTTTGCGCAGGCGCTTGCACACACCAGAGCTGTCGGAGCCGTAGGCAGGATGCCCCCATCACTACACGTTCATTGTGACACCACAGAGCAAAGGCTTTCCAGGTTGAAGCGAGACAAGGGAAACGCGCGACACATGTAACGCAGTGTGCGCTTGCAGCCGAAGGAATCATATCATCGACCCGCAACACCGCACCTCGCGCGTCCAGGAATCATATCATCGCTGCAAAATCTCTTTGAGTTCCTGAACCTTGGCTGATACTGCTAGCGTGACAGTCTGCTGTTTCCCTACTGGGCAGTACCGCAGTTATGTCTTGCGTTTCCATGGCGGCCAATGCAGCGAATATATTTGTTTAAGTCAATTTCCCGGCTCGGAGAGCACAGGTGGACAACAGTAGCTCAGGCGATCAACTTGAGAACAACGGGAGCGACAGTTGCAAATAGGCACATTCAACATGGCACTGCAACTTTGATGCAAACAAGGAAACCATGATGCAGCACAGCTGCTGCAAGGACTGCGAACCAGGAAAATCGAGAAAAACAAAATGAGATGAGAAGGTGTTTGACGCAAACAAGGACACCATGGTGCAGTACAGCTGCAGCGCGGTCTGCGAACCTGGAAAACTGGGAAAAAATCGAAAATCAGGTGAGTGGTTTTGAAGTAATGGCAGTATGCAGCATGACACAGACCACAACCAAGCCAGCCGGCTTTTTCTGCGCTTTTCGAACGAAGCTGAATCGTTTCCTGGCCCTTGAGACAGCTGATCTGAAATCATCGGGGAGCAGCTAAAGCCCCCAGCATTAATCAAAAGTATATTCCCAAGCCATGCATGGCCGTGGAAGCAAGTGCTGGCAAAGTTCCACAGTAGCCCGGCGACTACCAGAAGTTGGCAACTTCACAACAGCTTGATGAAGATGCGCGCTGGTCCGGCGATGGATGCGTGCTATCAGGAATGAGCCAGTTTCACTGACCCGTCTCTGTGAGATTCTCTTGAGCCGAAAAGTGCGCAGCGTCTAAAGCTGACATGACTCAAAACGAAATCTTTCGGAAACATCTGAAACAAGCAACAAGATTCGAAATCAAGGTTCTAAAGTTCACGTTATCTCTCAATGCCGATCCTGCCCGCAAAGACACAATCACTCCACCAAATTCAACCCCGGCCCCGGGCATGAGCGTGAAGATAAACTGCAAAAAAAACGACTCCAAATAGGGCAGTCGTGGTAACGGTACAAATGATGAATTCCTGCCGCCGGGAGATTAGTTCCTGACATCTCGCTGTTGACTTCAAGATGTCCCAATCACAAACAGAATCTGCAATTTACAGCTCAAGACATTATATACACCAGCACACTTTGCGTCGCTACTTACTGGCTTGGTTCGAACCACTGTACCAAATCTCTATATTTCCATACGGCCCACTGCCTAACCAAGTACGGGTAAATAACATACATCCTTGTGATTGTACTTTTGTATGCTCGAGATACCATCGACAGCCCGGCTCAGAGAGCACAGGTAAGCCAAGGGCCGCTAATCTTGACAGTGGCAAGTGGCACCACCAGATAGAGCCAATGTTTGCAAGTGGGAAACATGCATCTGGAAACACAGACCCGCAAGAATGCCAGATAGGATGTCAGAATGTATGCCACATAGACTCCCATAAAAAATGCCAGGTAGAATGTCAGGCAGTATGTCAGATGAAATCTCAGACCAAATGCCAGATAGAATATCAGATAGAATGCCAGAGAGAATATCAAAATAATCAGATACAATCTCAAAATATATGGCAGATGGAATGCCAGAAAGAATGCCCGATAGAATCTCAATATATATATAATATATATATATAATATATATATAATATATATATAATATATATATATATATAATATATATGTATATGTCAACTAGAATGCCAGTTGACCGGGGCCACTCGAGGAAAGTAATTTTGACTATTATCGTTTATCAGGTGGGAGCTCCAATTTGCGCAAAATGGGGCCTGTCAGTGTATATCGCGTGCCCCGCTTGCCCCCTTGCCCCGCTTGCCACGCTTGCCCCGCTTGCCCCGCTTGCCCCGCTTGCCCCGCTTGCCCCGCTTGCCCCGCTTGCCCCGCTTGCCCCGCTTGCCCCGTTTGCCCCGCTTGCCCAGCTTGCACTTGCTCTGCTTACCTCCGCAGCAAGTGCGTCGAGTGGGGGGAGTGGGGCGAGTCGGGCGAGTGGGGCGAGTCGGGCGAGTAGGGCGAGTGGGGCGAGTAGGGCGAGTGGGGTCGAGTAGGGCGAGTGGGGCGAGTGGCCAAAGTCAATTAATTTTCCTACCAAGGCAAGTGGGGCGAGTGGGGCGAGTGGGGCGAGTGGCGGATTTCAATTAATTTGCTAGCCCAGGGCAAGTAGGGCGAGTGGGGCGAGTGGGGCGAGTGGGGCGAGTGGCGGATTTCAATTAGTGTTCCTCGTGGGCGCCCGCAATGTACTGTTTTCTACATCATTTCCTCTAGTTGTTACAAGCATTTCCTAGCTTGTACACCGTTTTCCTAATATTGTCACAACTTTTCTTCCAGTTTCCACTGTTTTTTCTACCGTTTCCTGTGGTTACTTTCTTCTCTTTTGTAGGTTTTCACTGTGTTTTGTCCAGCTTTTTTATTACATGCTTCCTACCATTTTCACCGCTTTCCTCTATGGCTTTTTGTACCTTTTCCTCTCGTTTCCTGCATTTCATGCATTTTCAATATATTTTTCCAAGAGTTTTACCCGTCTCCTTCAGTTTCCGATCGTTTTTGCACCATTTCCTCTGGTTGTTATCGCATTTTCCTGCACTTTCACTGTATTTTTCCAGCATGTTTACTGCATCGTCATAGTTTGTTCCTAGCAGTCGCTCCGGGTTTCCTCCATGTTCCAACAGATTTTGCACCCTTTATTCTGGTTGTTATCACATTTTCCTGCCAGGTTGTTATCACATTTTCCTTCACTGTATGTTTCCAGCATTTTCCAGTGGATTTTGCACGATTTCCTCTGATTGTTATCATGTTTTCCTGCAGTTTCTATATCATCTATATCCTCTTCGTGGGTTTTCAGTCTATTCATGCATTTTTAATCTATTTTTCCAAGATTTTTACCCGTCTCCTTTTTGCACCATTTCCTCTGGTTTGCTGCATTTTCAATGTACTTTTCCAAGAGTTTTACCCGTCTCCTTGATTTTTCCGATCGTTTTTGCACCATTTCCTTTGGTTGTTATCGCATTTTCCTGCACTTTCACTGTCTTTTTCCAACATGTTTACTGCATCGTCATAGTTTGTTCCTAGCAGTCACTCCGGTTTCCTCCATGTTCCAACAGATTTTGCATGGCTTGTTCCTAGCATTTTCCTCTGATCGTTATCATGTTTTGCTCAAGTTTCATTGTATTTTCCAATACATCCTCTTCGTGGGTTTTCAATATGTTTTGTCCAGCATTTTTTTACTACATGTTTCCTATCATTTTCACCTCTTTCCTCCATAGGTTTTTGCACCATTTCCTCTGGTTTCCTGCATTTTCATACCTTTTCAATATTAATATTAATCCAAGAGTTTTACCTGTCTCCTTCATTTTCCGATCCTTTTTGCACCATTTCCTCTCGTTGTTATCACATTTTCCTGCACTTTCACTGTATTTTTCCAGCATGTTTACTGCATCGTCATGGTTTGCGCCTAGCATTCGCTCCGGTTTCCTCCATTTTCCAAGGGATTTTCCATGGTTTGTTCCTCGCATTCGCTCCGTTTTCGTCCGTTTTCCAGGGGATTTTGTACGATTTCCTCTGATCGTTATCATGTTCTCCTGCAGTTTCATTGTATTTTCCAATACATCCTCATGGCCTTTCCGGCCACCAAAAAGGCGGACCTAGGGGGAATCGATACCCCACCGTCAGCAAATTGCCTAGTGGTACTTAATCCAGCAAAATGCTCCGTTTTCTGGCGCTCAACACAGGGGCACGGCGAGATTTCGTTCCCTTTCGGCAACCACCCCCCCCCCACACCCCCTATTCTCACTTCGTTCGCAAACAGCAACTAGCCAGCTAGCTGGCTTTCGTAATATATAGTCATACTGTCATACAGTATATAATTACATAGTTCTACATCGAGTATTTGGAAATCCCATTGCTATTCCCATTAGTTATCCTAGTTACAAAATCATGCTAGTTATTATATACCATACTTACTATATAGTTACTATATAGTTCTATGTATATATATATATATTACTATTGGATAGTATTTGATAGTTCTAGTTGTTATATGATATATATGTTATACCATATGTTACTATAATTATTCTAGTTATTATATATATTTCTATATTCCATCAGTTCTCCCACTTCGAAAATCCGCCGTTTTTCCCAGGTCTCCGTTGTCGCCTCCAGTTGTCGCAGGGCCTTCCGTTGCTCCACCGAGGCTGGACCACTCAGATCCGCCAAAGTCTCCAGGTCACGCAGAGCTGTGGCCAACAAACACCTGGGGGACGCTATTTAACGATGGCTTTAATGGAGATTTCATCGGTATGTATATATATATATGTATATATATATATATATGTATATATGTATATATGTATGTATGTATATATGTATATATGTATATATGTATATATGTATCATACATCATACACATACATAGTATGTTATATATTATTAAATTTTAGCATGTGTACATTATTATATAGTTTTAAATATGACCTTGGCTATTCTATTCTCAAAGATAAGTATATCATCGGAGTTCGTGCGATTTAATGATGATATTTCTTGGGATATTTGCCCCAAAAAACAGGGGATTGACTCCCCGAACAGCCATCGAAGAATAGGGAAAATGATGATAAACCAGTGGATGGAGAAGGGTGCCAAATTTTCAGACAAGGAATACAACGGGATATTATGGGGTCTGTGTATATATATATATATATAATTATATATATAATTATATATATATAATTATATATATATATGTGTATACACATATTTTTGTTACCAGCAATAATGATGAAATTGCATAGCAATTTTAATAGAGAGAATGCTGAGATACTATGGAATCGAAACTGCCAGGGGAAGCATATGCTGACATGAAATGGTTAGTTGTGTAAAAGCATAATATTTTTTTGTACGATATAGTCTAAAATAAATTCCAAGATGCTACGGCTAGAGCTAGTGGACGCTCATGACACACTGCCAGAAGAAACTGCAACGAGCCACCTGGCGGTGGCGTCTTGCTCCGCTCTCTTGCCATATGGCGAGGATCGCTGTAGTTCCGGCAAGGCCTCAAAGATTCCTCAAACGCGGAGAGTAAATTTGAAGGAACTCTACACGCCGAGAAGGATGGTATATCATGGCAGGGAAACGTGTGCAATTTTTGGATTTGGTTGACTTACAAAGTGACCCCGTCAGTTGAAGATTCGTTATTAATTCTTGGATACCCAAAAAAAGAAAGAAAAAGGTTGAATGCATTAATACTTTCAGAATGTCAACTGATACTATATGATAATGATATAAATGATACCATGCCATACTAAACATGACATTTGATATTCATTTATCTGTCATTGATATCCAAAATCTGTGGCTTTACCATGTTTTCGCCAAGTCACTGGCCATCCCCTGCAGCCAGGACCTGCTCCCCTCCGACCGAAGCTCGGCCATCAGAAAGGCGAAGCGTTCAGCGGCCAAGCGGTGCTGGGCAGCAGCAGAGACGCCACGCCTGTGACGACCCAAGAAGTTCCATGCTGAAGTCGCAGGAGATTCTCCAAATTTCTCCAAGTTAGGAGTTTAACCATCAAAAATGGGATTTCCATGGGATTTTACCAAGCAAATACTTGGAACTGTTCCAAAACAAAATGCCATGGCCATGATTCTCAAAAAAGAAACGCTTCACAGTTAAAGAAAAAGGTCACCACGCTGTGGGATTGGATGAAATGGAGCTGTGGATGAGTTTGGACGAGACTGGAGAATCATTGGATGACCCTTCTTCGAAGCCGAGTGTCCAACGCACGTATGGTGCAGAAGACGGCGACCAAGTGACTTCGAGCCACCTTCAAAAGCAGGGAACCAAATCGACCGAATGGATTCATGGACTGGTGCAACTGGTGAACAATGATATTGATCTGCCGCACCATGAGCTTGTGATGAGGTACAGTATCTGAATCATATCCAAAACAGATTCAAATCTGCACAAGTGGCCATGGAGAAGCACTGCAGAACTACTCTATTCCAAAGATCAATGAAAAGTGCCCAGACTCCGCAATCAATCAACTATTTTATACTTGATTTTACATGATCATACCCATTAAGATGCCATTAAATCCAATATAATCTTGGATTTAGCAAAGAGAACCAACACCAGTAAGCTTTGATGCCATGCTGGTAAGTCACCTCTCAGTCAGCTTGGCACGCCAATTCTGGCCATGTTGGCCATCTGGCCCAGCCAGCCCATCGCCACCTTCAACTACACCACTTTTTCAAGAGACAGTCAACACAGCTCCTGCAATCTATGCTCCACAGGGACATACAATATGATTCGTCTTTGATTCCACTCTGGGAATTGGTTGACAGGAGGTCGCAGCTCATGGATTGTCATAATCCTTAAGATATTGGAAAGTATAAGCCCCTATAATGATCAACCAACCACCCTTAAGCCGCCACTGCGTCACACGGGCCTGCATCAGGATGGAAGCGCTGACCCCAGTCTCGGTCACGGAGGATTTGGAATTGAACATCAAGTGATGCATCAACCTGCTGCGCAGCTGTACAAAGATCAGATTGTTTCCGTCAAAACCTCCATCGATAAAGGATCTCCCATTGTTTGATTACCGAAGGGTATCCACAACTCCATGCTTCAAACAGTTTTGTCTTGCTGAGCTGAATGTCATGTCAACGAGTTTTAAGCATAGAGAGTTGTACAGGGAAATGGTAAAGCCCTTGAGTTTCAACCCTCTGTCATTTCACTTAATCAAATCCTGATTGGCTGAGAACGGGATTCCCAGTTAATGGATTAGAATCATCCTCAATATATGAAGGGTAGGTTAAAAACCAACTAATCATCAACCATCAGTACCATTAACTATATCCCCATAGTTTAAGTGGTTAAAACATCAACTATATCTCCATAACAACTAGTTCATGACTATATATATATACATAAATATATATATATATATATCCATATTTTTTGCTGGTTAAAAACGAGTTAAAACCTTGGATTTCAGGAAACCCCCCTCCACAAAGCCAGTAGTTTCCCCAACGGGGCACGCCTTGACCATCCCACGGAACAAGGACGACGTGGACGACGACTGGGGCCATAGCTCGGTGAGGCCTGGTGCCATCTGGACTCCAGCAATCCCAGCATTTTTTCCATAGGAAATCCATAGGAAATCCATAGGAATTCGAAGGGAGAATGGGATGGGAATGGCTGATATATCTGATAAAGCTGAAGAAAGTTTGTACTGAGTGGATCTGAACACTATACTGAAACTGATCTTCGTGGAAGTATGTACAGTAACTGTTACTGTGACAGTTTTAACCTTCAGCCATCATACAATTGACTGCAACGAGATCAAAACTAGAAAATATCGCGATAAAAATGCTGTGCAATGAATGTGGTAGATCATAGTGTGATGATTATGTTATGTTGTTGTGAGACATAATTAATGAATATTAATGATGCAAATATGATAACGTCATATAATATACAGTAGTACCATGTAGTACCTAGAAATCCTGTTTTAGGTCCTTTTCCCCCAGCCATTCCCATCCAGCCTTTCCAATTGTCCCAGGATCCCACCAAAAAGAATGGTCCAGCGAGGGTCCCGCGCTGGCCGTCGCGCTTGGGGCTTTGAGGCAACTCGCAGCCGCCAACGTCCAAGAGTCTGGCAAGCCGTGCTGTGGCAGGGAAAGAAACAAGTGTTGCAGGTATTTGCAGGTATTTGCAGGTGTGCCCAATTTTGGGACATGCTCGGAGTTTCAGTCCCTGTCTCTAGCTTCCGCTTAGCAGGGAATTAATCATTTGTTGATACCTCATCTGCTTGTGGGTGTCTCATTCCCTTCTAAACACAAGCCAGTCACCAAGGCAAAGCTCTCAACTGTGATGGCAGCACTTCCAGCTCACCTGCCGCCTGCCCAGATTCCAACGAATCTCTAGCTGCATACCTGAAGCTTTGGCGAGCTGCCGGTGGAATGTACTGGACCTGTTCTTTGTCCCAGGCCACGGTGCCACGGGGTGAAATGAGTATTGGGGAATGGGACTGTAGCTTCACATAGAACCAACAGGGACTTCGCTGGGAAAAATAAATTTCAACAAAGCAGTTCAGCACCCTCCGCTCAAAAAAAAATAGCAACACATTCCCTGTTTCACCAAGCAACACTCAGCTGGCAAAGCTGTGATCCGGAAGTTCCGCCCATGGACGTTTCCGGGCCCCTCCACGGTGGATTTGTTTGTTGAAGGATAGTAGCGCTTTGACCAATCGTGGCCCTGGAGAATCTGGAACTCCTTCAAAGCCAAGAGAAACTGAAAGCTTCAAGGAACTGCCGCATCCATCGCAACATGTCACCTAGAGATAAGGCTCAGCTCTATGGAACTGTTCCAATGGATCCCAACTTTGAGCGTCACCTGGTCCTGGTTTGTCCCAAAATTTCGTGCCACAAAGTCCCTTCAAACTTGCCATAGATTGAGCGTATACTCATGAGTCTTCCCCTCATTCCAACCCTCCTAAATCCTATGGAAAATGGTGATAAATGGTGATAATATGTGATAATCCTATGGAGAGTTGCCAAACATGTACCACAAATTGCCATAGTCATAGACATACTCCCATGATCTCCCATGTTGGTGATAATCCCATGTCCTCCATGGCTGGGGGCCGCCTCACTGGCACCCGCGCCACCAGTGATGTTGGCCAACCCGTGTCCGGACGCAGCTCGGTGAAGTGACGCCATTCGTCCCAGGAGCCCACCAGGCAGAAGGTCATGCGCCAGTCATGCACCGGTAAATTCGCGTCAAATGGCTATGGGTCAAAACCCTGGCACCAAGTGACCCTGGCAAATTTGCTGGTAAATGGATGTTCATCCCACTAAAATTGATAACAATAGGTTTGACCCAGCCCCAAATATGGTAAATTCTGATCATTCACACAGCATGAAAATCAGGTCGGTTTGGAAATAGGATCAATGTGCTAAACCCAAGAGTTGCCAAGATCAATGTGGAGATTTCACTGATAAAACATCTCAAAATATCAACCATGACGTGGTAAAACACCCCTAATATTCACCAGCAATGGGTTTCTTGTCAACAGCAAGACTGGGTTGCAAACCATCCCCAAGAACTCAGAATGCATATATGTACTGCTGGTTGGGTGGTTCAATCATAACTTAAAAAAATGATGGGTACTGAAAAATGATGAAATTTTAGGAAACGTCCCAAAATTTGCCTTCAAACTGGTGGTATGGTCTTCATCCCAACTGGGGCTTCATGGCATCTGCTGTGTGTTTTTTTTTTGGGTGGCTGTGTGCACTGCAACTTGTGGCTATCCTTCGCCATTCGCGAGTTGCTAGTTCTGTCATGATCAGCTTGTGGCTGAAAGCCTTGCAGACTTGCTACATCAAGAGATCAACCATTGATTGCACACCCAAGCTCTCAAATCTATCAAATCCAATTCTTCCGGGCTACAACTCTGGTTTCAATGGCGACAGAGAAAAATCCGAGGAGTCAATGTTTCATCTGGGATGCGATGCCAATGGCTGCAGGCTGTTCCGCATCTTCAGCAACTCCAGACCTCAAATCAGAATGGTGTCACCGCTTTGTTGGCCAATCCTTTCCAGAAACACTGGAGGTTTCATGCAGTTTGAGACACATCCGTGACATGTCCTTCAAGTCACCTTCTTTGGGATCTGGATCACAGCACAAACAGCACAACGCTAGATCTTCTAGGGCTCCAGCCCAGCTTTCGGGCGCTCACCTGTTGTATCCACGTTGAGGAACTGCATTTGATATCCTTGATATGGATATTGAGCTGCCACATGTCAAATCTCCACCTTTTCGCTGGAATTTCACGACAGTAAATCCCCAGCCTCCACGTCCAAACATTGCTCAAAGACTTGCAGGACCTCGGCTGCTGGAAGTTCAAAGGCTGAACAGCTGCGTGACCCCTGATAATTGTTAGTCAAAAAACAGGTGCTGCCAAGGTCCAAGCGGATATAGAAGACAAACCACAGATGTCTATCCTCCACCCGACTCCACAAAGCCCTTGCCAGGGTCTTCTACTTTGCTCACTTGAGCGGCCCCGCATTGCTCACTTGTAGCTCTTCCGTCAAAAGGACCCAGCCATCCTCCACATTCAGAACATACATCCAGAAACAATGAAAAGTTCTGGAGTTAAAATGGATCGAAAGCCAAAGAACCTTGTCATTTGATGTAATTATTAAGTGTTGCTGGATGATGGGTGAAGAGTGCCCAAACGGCTAAGTGTGCTGTAATTTCTCACCATGTTCAGAGGCATCAACTACAGCCAGACCGCAAACCTTGCGGCAGCAAACGTGACTTCCGGACTCTACCGTTGTCCATTTAAGCATCCAATCCCACTTCCCGTCCTTGAGCTTGGTCGTGTTCGTCGTGTCGTCTGCACTTTGGCAAACATCTTCCGGCAAAATTACCAAAAGGTGAAGGTTCAGTCCATGAAGCCTTGGTTTCTCAAGTGAAGGCTTAAAGGTGGTGGACGAAAAAGTGGAAGAATTCGACGGAAGTTCAATGTATTCTGCATATTTCAATTTCCGGTGTTGCTCGTTGAAACTACACTTGCAATGAGCTGCAATGAGGTATTTTGAGATTGTGCGTGCAACGAGATTGGGAGAAACTATCATCGCTTTTGATGATATCAAAGCTGCAAATCTCATGACTCATGACAAACCTGCTAAAACTAGCAAGCATTGGCACCCCTTCGCCATCTCAAGAGAATTGTAGACGCAGCAAAAGTGCTGTTGCTTTCTCAATTCCCTTCCCAAGCAACGATTTCCTACAATATCATATAATATCCACTATCGTCACTATCCACATTGGCAGCACGGAAATTGTCCAAGCCTTCCATTTTCAGACGGAGCTGCAGCAGAGAAACCCCAGGAGGATGGCCTCTGTAGATACAAACGCCTCCTCCTTGAAGACACTCAGCAAGCGCCTTGGAGCTCAACGTGATCAGAGGAAACTTCCAGCAACGAACAGAAACAGCGGTTTCAATATTTATGAAGGTTTCCTAATTTTTGGGGGATCCCCCAAACCCTAGTTTTCAATACTAAAATGTTCTAATTTTGGATGATTTGAGGGTACCCCCAGGAAGCCTGCATAGTTCAATCATTTCAACCCAACCCGGTCTCCAAGTCTGTCCGAAGGGACAGCAAGGCAAAGGACACGACAATTAAAAGGACCTTTTTCTCCGAACAATCGCCGCTGTCACCAGTCAGTACTGCGTGCAACGCGGTGTTTTCCGGGTGCCTCCCATATGCTGAAGAGGGAAATGATCAGTCAATTAGATACACGGAAGCAAACCTGACCCCACCCCTAGCTATACCATGCCTGGAGATGGCCAATTCCAACGGAGTTTCCTGGATGTGCAGAACGTCGGTTCAAATATCGTGTGTTCCCCAGCTTATGGACGGTGCTCGTTGCTGTTTTTTTTGAACTGTGCAAACCACATGCTCCTGCAACAATCGAGTTCTTCGACGATGCAAAGAATCCGAAACTTTGGGCCTTGGACAAGAAATGTTCAAGGACTGTATGAAACATGGTCCTCCCATGTCACAGGTGCGTAACAGTTGCTTTAGAAAAGACTGCTCTTTAGTCTTTCACCAACCTTCAAACATATTCCTGATACGCTAGCTGAATCTGTCGTCATTGTACGGTGAGCTGAGTTCCAGGGCGGATGAGGATCTGCCCGATGAGCAAGGAGCACACTGCAGATGGAAGCATCACCATTCAGGGCTGCCCAGTGCAAGGCTGTCCTTGGAGCATAGATCTGAAGATCCTGGACTTGGAGAGTCAATGGCCAATGGCTGCTGGTTTGTGGTCCTTTTACTAAATTGAATTGAGTGCTGGCAATTGGTAAACATAGAAGAGGATTATAGATATATGGATATATATATATGTAGATAGATGTGGATAAATATATATATATATACGGAGATATAGATATATAGATACATAGATACATAGATATGTAGATATGTAGATATGTATGTATATATACGTAATATTATATATACACGTATATTTATACAAAGATATATACATACATTACATTGCGTTACGTTCCGTTCCGTTCCGTTCGGTTTCCCTCCGTTCCGTTACGTCTGCTTCCGTTACGCTACGTTACGTTACGTCACATCATATTACATACATACACATACATGCGCGCTCTTTCCTCGCGGAATTCCAGGAATCTCGGAATCTAAGCAATGTCAATCTACTGCATTTCCATGCATTTCCTTCCAATTCACCGTAAACCCTCGCCAAAGCTTCCTCAGCTGCAGATCTCGACAATTCAGCTCTGCTTTCGCCTCTGCTGCCAGCTGCACTGTGGCAACCTGGGCTGAAGTCCCATCATGCTCCATCCTTCAACCCATCAAGCTGCTCAATTGGCTGTGGATATGGTTTCCTGGATGTGAACTCTGTCGCTTTCCATCCAAAATCAGACCATCACCACCATCTCCCATGGATTCCCTGAGATGCCACACCCCCATGGCACATCCTCCTATCCTCCCCAGGCTTTGCCTGAAAATTTGGTACCTAAACACCAAGTGGACTAATATCATCTTCCCCGTTCAATAGATTTGGGTATAGCCAGTTTCCAGACACCCAAATGATGATGATTGTTTGTACATCCTAATATGTAATTATATCCCAATTTGATCTTATATTCCTGTTGTGATTATCATAAGACATTAATGATTATGGCTGCTTGCATATTATTGATTATTATAATCCCATTAAGTCCCTATCAAATCCCATGATACCCTATTGAATCCCTACTAAACCCATTAAATCACATTAAATCCCATTCAATTTCTATCATGTCCCTATAAAATCCCATGATATCCTTATTAAACTGTTGTTCGTTAAATCCACCTGTCATCCCTAGAAACATCTCCAGAGCGCACGGCATAGTGCAGCAAGGACTGCCTGGTCCCGTCGCGACTGCGCGGCGGCGCCCCGCAGTCCAGCAGCGCCCGCAGCGCGTCAGCGTTGCCGGCCGCGCACGCCACGTGGCCCGGCAGGGCACCGTGCTCCGTGGGGTGCCTGGCTTCCGCGCAGGGGAAAATCGAATGGACACCATTCCGTTTTCCACGCCTTTTCCCATGTTAGACAGAAATGTAGGGGGCTGTAAATATGTTCAAGTCAAGAAAGTCTGAGACAGAGGCAGGTGGGGATGCTAAGACATGCTAAGACATGCTAAGCAGTTGGTATTCTATGCTGGTACAGCCAACCACAATATTACGGGCAATAAATGGATTGGTTCCTCTGCTAATGGACCACCCAAATGATGCCTTCCCCTAGATATCCATGGATAGCGTTGGTCACTTCAGAGAGATCTGGTCCGAAGGAACGGAATTGAGGAAATAAGTTCTATTACTAGGATCCGAAAGAGCAACAGCACTAGTAAATCCAAGCTGCACAACACTGGCTCCATAGGACACCAGCAGTTGCACCATGCTCCCCTCGCACTTTGAAGATGCCCAATGCAAGGGCGTTGTTCCAGCTCTTGCTGAAAGGTCCCCAGTTGCATCAGCGCCAGCCACCAGCAATGCATGAGCCAAGATTTCACGGTTTGAGCGGATGGCACTCTCCAAGGCTCTAGGCAGTACAGCTTCTTCAGCTTCAACATCAGGCAACTCATCCGTTTGGGATGTTCTTACTCCCGAGCTGGCAAGGAAATGTGCATATTGCCTCAGAATCGGTCGCTCCAGCAAGGCGCAAGGAGCAAAGGGGCCACCATCACATAGACCAAAGTGACATTCGGCATCCCCCGCTCTCTCCGGTGCCAAGAAAAGCGAGGCATCCCCCGCTGGATTGCGCCAGTCGCTGTTTCCCTCAGCCCACCTCGCCTTGCCGCCCCCTCCACCATGAAGCACCGCGCGAAGGACACGTGTCACTCGCACTGCCTGCACACTTCCGCCACCCAAGGCATAGAAATCAGCATCAGGACCCAACTTCCAGTGTTCTGACAGTGAAAGCTCCGAAGCCCAAGCCAATACAATTGCCTTCTCGAGGCTTGTCAGTGATTGGCCAGCCTCAGCTTCTGAAACAACAGTATCGAGCTGGTAGGCTTTCTGGCTCATTTCAAACCCAGGTTGAGGCAATGCATGTCGATCGATCTTTCCGTTGGGAGTCATTGGGAGGGCTTCCACTGAAACAAAACGACGAGGTCTCATCACACGAGGCAAATGCTTGTCGCAATGCGCTGTCAAGCATAGGTAAGCGACACCATCCAGTATCTCACCATCTTCAAGTACCACATACGCAAGTAGATTTCCCTGTCCCCATGGCATGGCAGCACACTGACGCACCAAAGGACTTAAACTCAGCAAATGCTCCACTTCACCCAGCTCAATTCTCTCACCATTCAATTTCACCTGGAGATCCCGTCGGCCCAAAACTTGTAGGAGTCGGCCATCAGGTCCCTCCATCCAACGACCAGAGTCTCCAGTCCTGTAGCAACGTTCCTGCTGACTGCAGCAAAAGCGCGCCGCCGTCAACTCCGGAAGTTCCAGGTAGCCCCTGGCAATGCCCGGACCCCCCAAGCAGATCTCCCCATCAGGACCCTCCGGCCATGGAAGCACCGAAACGCGGACACCTGGGCCGCCAACAGGGGTGTCGCAAATGCACAATGATGCCCGATCCCAGCATAAAAAACGCACTGAAGACAATGATGATTCATTTTCCGATTCAATCTAATTCCATCTAATTCCCTTTTTTGTTTCAAACTGGCCTGGTAATGGCTTTCCAGCAGTCTGTGGGGATGTCTCAGGAGACATCACCATGGCCGTCTGGTAGACCGTGGCTTCTGTCACCCCGTAAATGTTTCGCAGCTGAACGGCAGATGCGGCAGATGCCCACTGATCCACCAGCTTGGGAGTCATCTTTTCACCGCCCAGGGATAGGCACCTCACAGTGGACGAGCAGTCGGGTAGGCCTACCAGGCTTGATTTTGAAGATTCAGGTCATTCAGGTTTCAAGGAAATCTCAATAGACTCAATAGACTCCATAGACCAAGGGAAGGGATGTTCTCCAGGGGATGCCACACCTCAACTTGCTGAAGTGTCCAGGCCCCTCCTCCACCAAGTGCCAGAGAGCAGGAGTGGCACAAACGTGTGTGGCCCCTGAGCTCATCAGCACCTGCCATGGATTCAACTTGGTTTGAAATGGCTGAAGCTGAAAGAAAATGACTGGGGAGAAAGTCACGGCAGTGTAAATAAGATTGGTTAATGGGCATTTCCAGTTCATGGATGATAAATCCCAGTTTTTCTTCAATTGTATAACATAGAATAACCCCGGAACTAATCATCAACCGATCATCAAGTAATGATGCCTCCATATTTCTTGATGGTTAAACATGGTTGTTAAACCATGTTAAACCCCCCATAATTGCTGGTTAAAACCAATTCCTTTCCCCACCTCACTGAGACACTGAAGCAGCTGAACACGCGGCGCCAGCACCAAGGAGGCACCGGCGGCCAAGGCGCAGAAAATGTCGCCCTGCGACGAAGGGTTGGACGGTGGGGATGCAGTCTGAATCCTGAGAAACATCGGATTTTCCAGGAAGAATGATGAAGAGTGGAAGATTGGCAGCATGGTCTATAGATACTGAGAGGTCCAATACTTCCACTGGAAATGTCCTATAGTTTCCCATCACTGCTGCTGTATATCTATATCTATATCTATCTATATATATATATTATAAATAGATATTATAAATAGATATTATAAATAGATATTATAAATATATATTATAAATAGATATTATAAATAGATATGATAGATAGATATTATATATAAATAGATATATTGTAATAATCACATTGAAAATCTGTTAACCCCCGAGCCCACCTGGCAAGGATCGAATGTGATGGCCGCCGTCAAGAGCACGGTGCTTGACTCATCGACCTTCTCAGCCGCTGCCTTGGCCAAGGCATACCAAGCAGCCTGTCGGTGCTCGCACAAGACGCCCTGCGGAAGGGGCGGGGCGGGGGGTGACGGCAGCATGGTCCACACACTTGCAGACTTTGGGGGGGGGTACATCCAGTTGTAAATGGGATCATCCGGGATAACCCCATTCAAGGATTTACCAACCTGGATTATTAAGCAGTTACGGAACGCTGAAATCAAAAACTGGAAGACTTCAAGCATAAACAAACAAAAAGAATCAAAAAGAGATGAATAGAGAGCGAAGCGGAACCAACCAAATGTGGATCATGAGATTCCCACCTTGGGCTTGCCAGTACTTCCAGAAGTGAATTGCACATAGCCTGGGCAACACACAATCAATGCATCCTACCAGCCAAAGGCAAGGTTCCGGTTGCATCAACGATCCAACCAACTATCTTCTCTGACTGAGGGACCAATGCCAACATTATCTGTCACCCTTCTTCACAACAAAACGTACCCTGTTATGCGGTACCCATCTCACTTCGAGACCCCACATAAGGCCCACTTTGGGATCCCATCACACTGCAACATGGGGTGGGTGTGGCTAGGGAAGAGTGGGTGCGTTCTACCAGCACCTACCACTACTACACTGCATGATATTCAAGCAACCATCAACTTATGCGTGCCACAAGTCTGTCCCCCAAAACTCAGGGATCCCCAAGCGAGGTGTCTTTCGGGAGAAAAACTCAGCGAAGTCCTTTTTTCTGAATGTTTTATGTTTTCTTTGGTGTCAGGAAGTTTCATCCCAGTGAAACGTCCTATGGTTTTTCATGGTTTTTGATAGGATAAATCCACATGTTTGCAGATTTTTCTCACCATGTCTGGTTTTCCGGAAGGCGGAGCTCCCCCCCTTTTCTTTTTTCGGAAGTTTCATCGAGTCACACAGATCCCGTGGCGACGGTCTTTTGAGAGTCACATCTGGATCCGGGAGCTCGACCAAAGCCTGCAGCAACTGATGACAGTTTTGGAGCGGTTCTTTCTTGTTAAAAAGGACAGCAAGATATGTAAAAGTGTAATATGTATGTAATATGTAAAAGTGTAGCATATATTCATTATGATATTAATGTATAGTAGATGGATGCTGAGCAAGAGATCTTGTACAGACATAAATACACACAAGTCAACCCGGATGAATAAACACTGATTGGCTAATGAGGGTAGGTGCTCCGAATTGCGATGATCTGCTCCTAAAATGGCTCCCTGTGCCCCATTTTTCAAAAGCCCAGGGTGGCGTTAATCCGCTGTACCGTTAGGGGGTGGGTGCCGCAGCATGAAAAGACCTCCAGTGTCCAAAGCGGCACCGCCAGCTCCGCGCTGAAGTCAGAAGGGGCCACTAGTAGTTCCGCACCTGATCGCAAAAAGGGTCGCAAAATCCAGGAAAAAGCGAGAAGAGAGTCAGGGGAGAAGAGAGTCAGGGGAGAAGAGAGCCAGGGGTTGCATCAACTCGCCTGCAATAGGCAAATCAAGCTCGTTTTCGTACGAATTGATGTGGCACCACGAATGAGAAAGTCTTGTTGAGACACAGTGAGTTCCTCCAATTCTCACAGGAATTGGTTTGCTCGCACACCAAATCGCACCTATCAAACTATTATATCAAAAAGTGATCTATCTCTCTGTTTGAGGTCGAAATATGTTGGCTGAAGCTGCACAAGATGACCCCCAGAGGCTGCACCTGCCGTAACCAGCATGCTCTCAAGGCGGGCCAGCGGTTGTCGAAGGTCCAAGGGCAGAAAGAACATGCCTGCCTGTGCAGAGGGAAGCCTGCATGACTGCTACGCTGCTACACAAGGGGACTCGACACAATGTACAAAGGAAAGACCAGCAAGCTACGGACCGTAGACTGGACGGACCGTAGACTGGCTCTGATTGCCTAGAAGTAACCTGAATGAAACACAATGGAAACAATTCGACACTAAACAAGTTTCTACCCGAACTTTCCAATCACCTCCAGCACAGCCACGTGGAGCAGCACCATTGGAATTCCCTCATCCACGCCCAGGCCGACACATCCAGGCGCCGGAGCCACAGTGTGCAAGCGCCGCGCGAGCTGGCGTGCTCTCTGGAGCAGGGATGTAAAGCTCCAGCCCTGAGCCATGGCAAGAGGACATGCCAGTGGATCGGAAGATGATCAATGGAGATATAGCTTTAATGTAGATAAGGATGATTTATATATATATGCATGTACGTGTGTATAATATATATATAATGTATATAGATGATTTTTTCCCGTTGCCAGCTTAGGCTTTACTAGATGATGCTACTTCTATGCACTAAAGAACTGATGAGCCACTTTGGGATGTCGTGGCTTGTGCCCCTGCATTGGCAGTGCCTCTTCGCCAAGCGAGGTCACAGTTGCAGTGCGTATCTTCCAGATCTCGCAGAGAGTGACCTGGAGGGCTGCTACCAAGATCTATGATGATAGGTGACCGCAATTTGGCATAATTGGGCTATCATCATAGATCTTGACCTAATACAATACCTGGATCATCTTTGATCATAACAATTTAGAGCCACTGGTTACTTCTGAGTTTCTAAAGATTGACCCACTGCCAAATTGCTGGTAGAAAGATTTCGTGCTGCAGGTCTGCCTCAGCGAGGAAAAAACAGTGAGCTAAACCAGCTCTGCCGACCTCTTCGTACGGCCATGCGGATACTTCCCAGTCCATAGCTCAAGCGCACATCAGTGCAAACCTACCTCTGAACCCTCTCTAGTTTTCTGTCTCAATGTACATTTCCTTTGATTCAACGCAGTGATCAGGTGCAACATACAGTTCAGCAAGAGGTTTTGATGCGGTATGCACACTTGTCTGAAGTTGCACTTGTTCCATTCTTTCGGAGATTTCTGTGGCGGAAAAACGGGACTAGAAGACTTCTTCCACCATCAATAGAAGCTAAGTGCCTCTCAAGCCTTAAGATCAAACAAGCGAATGAAGCAGCTTACCTTGGGCGTCCACTATGTGACTGTGCTTCATTAAAACATTTGTCACCGGAAGTTTCTCAACCTTGGGATACCTTGGGTTCAAGACACTGGACAAAGTATCAGAGCAACAGTGTCATCACCATAAGTACAATAGAAACACACAGAGAAAGCATTCAAAAAGCCATCTTCGTTGTGCTCCTGTCGTGCACCTTTTCTAAGCAAACTGATTTTTGAGCATATTTCAGCATCATTGGCCGTTCACTTTTCGCTTCTTCTCCGGCACAAAGGCAGCCACGTCAAAATCCTGACCAAGATAAAGGTAACAGCCATTGAGAAGCAACTCATTGCCAAGGACCTCATACCAAACCATGGGCCAATGGAGCAAATGAACTGGATGTCTTGAACTGAGAACCAATTAAGAATAATCTTTATAGTCCTTTGATCCACCCAGATCTTAATGGAAATCATACATGGATTTCCAGAACGCTTTGATCGAAGTTGTTTATTGTCATATAGTGATAAAGTGCTCCTCTCGTTCTTGACCCTCTCTCCCTCATCCAAATTACATTCCTTTCGTCCTGGCTGCGCTTTGGAATGAGGCCGCAATCAGTGACAATGCCGGAAATCAACGATGCTGGCGTCACATCAAAGGCTGGGTTCCTTGGCAAGTGATGCTTGCCGTAACGCACCCTTCACGGGGTCGTGGGATGCATCTGTGGCAAAATTCACAAATCTTTGACCGAGCCAAGCATCCAAACACCAATCCCAGGGGCAGCCACTCGGTGGCTGACACCCTCCACTTTCAATGAGCAAAGCTCTTCATCGGGCCGCTCCTGAGAAATCCCAGTCCAGACTGCTTGGTTGATGTTTGGCTTGTCGCTAGTGGGTTTCTTATGATCCCCACCAAACCACCAGGTCAAATTGGATTAGAATCATCAGAGTGGGGAGAACGCATTTTGGACCATGTAAGGACCATGTAACCAACCACCAACCACCAGGCATTGTTTCCCCCACTTGCAAAGATCGCGGTGCACCTCGATGGGGATCTCCGAGCCGTGCTTCAAGTTGACCTCAGCTAACTTCAAGGAGCTCCATTGGAAGTGACACAACTGGATCATTAGATTCTAAAACCAACGTTTCGGAGGATTTAGAGGAAAGCTGTGTGCTACATAATTGTGAGGACTGCTGCAGATTTTCCCACCAAGTCTAGACCCAACCCACCCAACATCACCCAACTCAGCAGAGCTGCGTCTAAGGTGGTCAGTGGCGCAGCCACGTAAAAAGGCACACCATGGTGTCTGGATAGCACTGCCAGCGAATAGGTCCCAATCTTGTTGGCGCTGTCTCCATTGGCAACGACGCGATCTGCGCCCACGATGCATGCATCGACCACATAGCGCTGCATCAAGGCAGCAGCCATGGAATCACAGCAGGAAAAAAAAATAGCTAAAATCATCATTTTCTATGGGTTTCAGAAGTTACATTAGGCATTTTTGAGGTTCACTGCCATGGGGATTTACCGCTGGGAGTGGTTCGCTTTTAGGCGTCGCAGCTAGCCACCAGCAGCAGCAGCAGCAGCAGGAGAAAAAATTCGCTAAAAAAATCATCATTTTCTATGATTTTCAGAAGTTACGTTAGGCATTTTTTCACTGCCATCGGGATTTGCTGCTGGGAGTGGTTTGCTTTTAGGCGTCGCAGCTAGCCACCAGCAGCAGCAGCAGCAGCAGTAGGAGCGTCTTCAGCAGCAGGAGAAAAAAAATCATCATTTTCTATGGGTTTCAAAAGTTACATTAGGCATTTTTGAGGTGCAATTTCGGAGCTTTTCCGTCCTTCACTGCCATGGGGATTTGCCGCTGGGAGTGGTTCGCTTTTTGGCGTCGCAGCTAGCCACCAGCAGCAGCAGCAGCCGCAGTAGGAGGCTCTTCAGCAGCAGGAGAAAAAAGTAGCTAAAATCATCATTTTCTATGGGTTTCAGAAGTTACATTAGGCATTTTTGAGGTGCAATTTTGGAGCTTTTCCGTCCTTCACTGCCATGGGGATTTGCCGCTGGGAGTGGTTCGCTTTTTGGCGTCGCAGCTAGCCACCAGCAGCAGCAGCAGCAGCAGTAGGAGCCTCTTCAGCAGCAGTAGGAGCCTCTTCAGCAGCAGGAGAAAAAAGTAGCTAAAATCATCATTTTCTATGGGTTTCAGAAGTTACATTAGGCATTTTTGAGGTGCAATTTCGGAGATTTTCCGTCATTCACTGCCATGGGGATTTGCCGCTGGGAGTGGTTCGCTTTTAGGCTTCGCAGCTAGCCACCAGCAGCAGCAGCAGCAGCAGTAGGTCAGTTATATCCCCGTTGTTTTAATTGATATACCGATATACCCTACAACATATCTCCAAATATCCTCATTTTATTGCTTCCCAAATATCCCCATGTTGGGTTCACAAAATCTCGCGGCTGTGCAAACTCTGAGGCTCTTGCACCGCAGCTATCTTGCAACTAAGAGATGGTCGCCAAGCACATGAGAATTAATGGCCGCAGCAGAACATTTGGCGTCAACAACGCCAGTAGCAAAAACATATCCTCACTCTTCGGCCGTTCCTGAAATATGTGTGTATATATATATAATGATATACATATATATATACATATATATATATAGCAATGGGATCTAAGATTTAAGAATCTAAGCAGTAAAGATTGAGTTGAGATGTTGACCAACAGGAATTAGTTGGTGAGCAACCCCCAATCTCTGCAAAGCCCTTCAGATGAATCTCTTTATTTCATGTGTGGATTGAAAGAAAACTCAAATACCGATACAAACAAGATACGACTGTGGTAAAACCATTTAAAACAAATGCTACAGAAAAAAAACGGCGTTCCTGGTCGTTGATTCCGGGGTCGGCGGCAGGGGCGGCAGCCCTTAAATATATATATATATATATATATATGCATGTACGTGTGTATAATATATATATATATAATGTAGATGATTTTTTCCCGTTGCCAGCTTAGGCTTTACTAGATGATGCTACTTCTATGCACTAAAGAACTGATGAGCCACTTTGGGATGTCGTGGCTTGTGCCCCTGCATTGGCAGTGCCTCTTCGCCAAGCGAGGTCACAGTTGCAGTGCGTATCTTCCAGATCTCGCAGAGAGTGACCTGGAGGGCTGCTACCAAGATCTATGATGATAGGTGACCGCAATTTGGCATAATTGGGCTATCATCATAGATCTTGACCTAATACAATACCTGGATCATCTTTGATCATAACAATTTAGAGCCACTGGTTACTTCTGAGTTTCTAAAGATTGACCCACTGCCAAATTGCTGGTAGAAAGATTTCGTGCTGCAGGTCTGCTTCAGTCAGCGAGGAAAAAACAGTGAGCTAAACCAGCTCTGCCGACCTCTTCGTACGGCCATGCGGATACTTCCCAGTCCATAGCTCAAGCGCACATCAGTGCAAACCTACCTCTGAACCCTCTCTAGTTTTCTGTCTCAATGTACATTTCCTTTGATTCAACGCAGTGATCAGGTGCAACATACAGTTCAGCAAGAGGTTTTGATGCGGTATGCACACTTGTCTGAAGTTGCACTTGTTCCATTCTTTCGGAGATTTCTGTGGCGGAAAAACGGGACTAGAAGACTTCTTCCACCATCAATAGAAGCTAAGTGCCTCTCAAGCCTTAAGATCAAACAAGCGAATGAAGCAGCTTACCTTGGGCGTCCACTATGTGACTGTGCTGCATTAAAACATTTGTCACCGGAAGTTTCTCAACCTTGGGATACCTTGGGTTCAAGACACTGGACAAAGTATCAGAGCAACAGTGTCATCACCATAAGTACAATAGAAACACACAGAGAAAGCATTCAAAAAGCCATCTTCGTTGTGCTCCTGTCGTGCACCTTTTCTAAGCAAACTGATTTTTGAGCATATTTCAGCATCATTGGCCGTTCACTTTTCGCTTCTTCTCCGGCACAAAGGCAGCCACGTCAAAATCCTGACCAAGATAAAGGTAACAGCCATCGAGAAGCAACTCATTGCCAAGGACCTCATACCAAACCATGGGCCAATGGAGCAAATGAACTGGATGTCTTGAACTGAGAACCAATTAAGAATAATCTTTATAGTCCTTTGATCCACCCAGATCTTAATGGAAATCATACATGGATTTCCAGAACGCTTTGATCGAAGTTGTTTATTGTCATATAGTGATAAAGTGCCCTCTCGTTCTTGACCCTCTTTCCCTCATCCAAATTCCTTTCGTCCTGGCTGCGCTTTGGAATGAGGCCGCAATCAGTGACAATGCCGGAAATCAACGATGCTGGCGTCACATCAAAGGCTGGGTTCCTTGGCAAGTGATGCTTGCCGTAACGCACCCTTCACGGGGTCGTGGGATGCATCTGTGGCAAAATTCACAAATCTTTGACCGAGCCAAGCATCCAAACACCAATCCCAGGGGCAGCCACTCGGTGGCTGACACCCTCCACTTTCAATGAGCAAAGCTCTTCATCGGGCCGCTCCTGAAAAAGAAATCCCAGTCCAGACTGCTTGGTTGATGTTTGGCTTGTCGCTAGTGGGTTTCTTATGATCCCCACCAAACCACCAGGTCAAATTGGATTAGAATCATCAGAGTGGGGAGAACGCATTTTGGACCATGTAAGGACCATGTAACCAACCACCAACCACCAGGCATTGTTTCCCCCACTTGCAAAGATCGCGGTGCACCTCGATGGGGATCTCCGAGCCGTGCTTCAAGTTGACCTCAGCTAACTTCAAGGAGCTCCATTGGAAGTGACACAACTGGATCATTAGATTCTAAAACCAACGTTTCGATTTAGAGGAAAGCTGTGTGCTACATAATTGTGAGGACTGCTGCAGATTTTCCCACCAAGTCTAGACCCAAGCCACCCAACATCACCCAACTCAGCAGAGCTGCGTCTAAGGTGGTCAGTGGCGCAGCCACGTAAAAAGGCACACCATGGTGTCTGGATAGCACTGCCAGCGAATAGGTCCCAATCTTGTTGGCGCTGTCTCCTCAACCCATTGTGGCTGGGGCAAAAGAAGCTAAGCTTTCTTCCACGCCTACTTCGGGGTGTTTTCGGAGTGGATATCTAACCATAGTTGCGGGGGGGGGGGGGCATATCCCAAATTTTGGAAGTTGTAGCTAACATGGCTATGGAAAATTGCCATGTTTCATAGGTATATTAACATATATTAACTATAAATTTCACCCCCCACCCAAAGTACTCGCCCCCATCCTCCCAGTCCCGTGGCGCTCCATTGGCAACGACGCGATCAGCGCCCACGATGCATGCATCGAGGCCACAGCGCTGCATCAAGGCAGCAGCCATGGAATCACAGATCCTCATTTGGAAATGTGGTGGGGAGTAATCATGGGATGATAGATGATGATAGGATGGGATGATAGGATGATGTTTAATGGTTGTTTCAATGGGACAAGCATGGGATGATGATAATGGGAGAATAATGGATGCCGACACTGCGCCAATATGACTTGCTGGAAAATGACAAGATTCTTTGGAACCAAGATAGATTTTTGGGATCCATGACAGGAAACGGCAAAAGTAGTCGGGAATCATGACAAGAAACGACAAAAGTCAAAAGTAGCGACAAAACGTGCCATGGGAAAGGTATGGGAATGGCTGCCATGGGAAAGGTACAGGAGAAGCATTGAAAAGGTGCAGGAGAAAATGACATGAGCAAAAAGGGAAATCCCAGAATACAGTAGGGCAATAGAGTATATCCAAGCATTTGGTACTCCATACCAAGCGTTTTCCCTTCAATGGTGAATTGTGGGGTGTCAAAATCACCACAAAATACCACAGGAGTTCCAAGTCAAACAGAGCAGCACGTGACACTGACTTCAGCCTTAGATGCTTCCAACAAGTAGAGGTTCCATCCGAGTAGCAACGTTCCAGGCAAGCCATCCTCTACCAGTTCAAAAGCGGTAAGCCGTGCCCCCTGCGAAGGATTGGGCTCGGGCGTGGGGTTGGGGCCTGAAATGACTGAAAATGAGGTGCTGACGTAGATCTTCATTCATGCAGGTTCAACCTGCAAACCATGATTCCGATTCTTCTCTCCTGGATACTATGATACTTAGCATACAATCCCAACAGAGCAACAAAGAAATGCTTCAGCAAAGTTTTTGCTCCGGAAATTCATAGACAACTGGTACCTCTGAACCTGCGCAGAAGCCACTCTTCGTTTGGCTTCCATCACTTCCCCGCCTGATTATAGGGCCTCGTCTCCAGGCAATATGCACGCTCAAGCTTGCCTTGCAACTCTTTTGATATTGGCTGAGAGTAGTCCATGGGAAACCAAGGGACCCAAACGAAGTTTGGCTGTTCTAAAATCCTAACAGTATCAATTCTTCCACCCTAAGAAATGCATGGTGAATCCTGGCAAAGGCTATTGCATCATCCACACGATCTGGCTGAATTATTTAATCTGAATTATGTATATATATATGGATTCACTCACCTGAAAATAGCTGATAAGTTCGGCCAGCCAGGAATGATTCCCCTTAGGTCCTAACCATCATGCCATGATTTTGAAATGCAAAATGAGGCCCCCCAGAGATGTTAGTTGGTTTATAAACCCATTATCTATAGTCATATTCCCTATAAACTAGAACTATCTATAAACCATAGGTTATAAGTTACAAGTTGAATTATAACCCCATTAACCATAGTTATTTATATATATATATATGTTACAGTTAGAATGGGACTTGCCCATCTTCCAAACCCTGGACCCCAGACCTCACAACCCCCAACATACACACATCAACCCCGGCAAAACTAACCACAAACATTTCATATCAACTAAGCAAAAACACCCAATCCACACGCAATCAGAAAAACTAACCACATACCCCAATCAAAAAAGAACTCCAACTGTTCAACAAGACTTGTCTTGTTAAAAAATTGACCGCCTAAATTTATGAAACAACATCATCATAAAACAATATCCCATGAACCAGAACAGAAACTCACCACAAACAACATCACAAAGCCAATCAGAACAACTAACCACAAACAACCAACCCACAAGCAATCATGACAGCTAACCACAAATAACTCATCAAACAAATCATCCAATACACTCCCATTTTTTCAACAAGACTTGTCTTGTTGAACATGTGTGTCCAGAATTATGAAACAATATAATGATAAGCCATTTCCCCATAAATCACAACAACGCCTCATCACTTTTTGCAGAGCAACCACGTGGTGGTCAGCGTCAAGCTGGAAACCTCTCATCCCGTGCAGGCAAAAGAAAGCAATGAAGCACGCCAGTGTCACGTTCAGGGACAAACTGCGCGTCATCCTGTACAACTAAGACGGGAGCGTCCCAGTGTCGCATTACTAGAATCAACCTGATCCCGGTACGAAATTCCGAAAGATCATCATCTCAGGGTTGTGGCACATCCTTGCTTTCATCCAATGGCAAGTCTCCACAATCCATCGCTCCGCACCTTGACGAGTGCCCACTAAAAGGAGCCTCGTGAGGTCACCATGCAGGGACTGGTGGCAGAAGCGACTCTCGAAAGGAAACTTCGCCTCTCTCAGGACGTCCGAACCAATGGATTCAAAGTCGTGGCAGGACGAAAGAACATTGGTCACATTGGTCACGGTCAAAGGGATCGATTTCTTGACACGGAGGCACTGGCTGAAGAAAGGAAGCGGGGTGCTGATACAGAAGAGTGATTCATTTCCTGAGGCATTGGCCAGATGTTTTTCCGTGCAAATGCCTGCCGCTGAAGTGAAGTTGATAGGGTCCTGGTGATGGTTGAGGTCGCGTGGCCATGTGGTATACATACTGAGGTCCATCCACCCGCCACGAAGAGTGTGATTGTAGCCGTTCATGAGTTCTTCTTCACTGCAATTGGGAGGCTCAGGCAAATGGTAGCCAGCGGCAAAGGCGCTCAACAGGAGGGTGGTGAAGAGCATCATGGGCAATGGCGGGGAACAATCTACTTTGATTGCTGAGGACTGGGGATACCTAAATCCACCATTTGGGAAGAATATAGCAATAGCATCTTCGCATATGAACATGACATGGTGCAACATGACACACGCACATGCAACTGCGAGAAGAAACCCTTCTCTATCTACATATACATCTCCTTACATCCATATCTACTTACACGTGTACTATGGCTTTGCCCATCTTCCACCCTGCTGGGAGGGGGTGTTTGTTTGTTTGTCTGCTGCTGCTGTTGTTGTTGTTGTTGTTGTTGGTATGGGAGGGGGAGGCGTGTGAGAATGGAGCGCGTGAGAGGAAATAATGTATTTGCTGTTTTTTCTTTTTAACAAAAAACAAAGCAAACAACAATTTCATAACAATAGTTTGAGAATATTGTTATGAAATCATTTTGGCAACATATTTATTAGCA